CACCAATGAAATGCTCAAAAACCTCACTCTTTTCTCTGTTTATCATGATACTGTCTACTGGTCCGGCTTCTGGGGATCTTTATTTTCTTTATACTGAGTTATAATCTGGACTGAAGGTTGCAGTCCTTGAACTTCATCAGCAAGTGCTTCCAGTCTCCCTCCCTTTCAGCAAGCAAGACTGTGTCATCTGTACACAGCAGGGGTGTTCACAAACCTTTCTCCAACCCGGCACCACTTTCTCGGTCAACAGCCCAGCTGCTCAGAGGATATGCTCAGCACACAGACTGAGGAAATACGGTCATGAGGTACAAACTGACGCACATCTTTTCTGGGGAAACCACATGGAAGTGCTGAGAACCCCAGTGGTCCCGCTCTGCACCAGAGAGTCAGGAAGCATTGTAACAGACCCGGTGGCCACAGGTAAGTCAGTCTATTCCTTTCTGTGATTTCTGAGCTTCAGAGCAACATTTCCTTTTGACTTTTATCATCACAGATACTGGTTTTTAAAAAAGCAGTTGTCAGCCTTCACAAGAATACCCAGCTAAGTCAGCCCTGATGCCCTGTATAATTATTGTTATTAAATGGGAATACATAAAAGTCCTACACCCACAGGTAGATAATTATACTGAAAATAAATCCATATGTCGCAGTCAATAACCTCCAAGCCAGAGGTTTTAAGCCTCGTGATCTGCACTGATACTCATCTTGTCGGAGTGCCCTCGGGTGCACGAAGGGACCTACGCTGGCAGAGGGAAGTTAACACTCGGGGTGGGGGGTGGGGGTTGGGTGGATTCTGGGCCAGATGCTTAAGCACCTGGTTTCACTCAACAGACCCACAGATGAGGAGGAGAGAGGTGCTGAGAGGTCAAGTGACTGGTGAGGCAGTGATCGCACTGGATTCCAACCTCTCCAGCTGGTTTGAAAGCCTAGATTCTCCCGACCACCGCAGCTCTGGGTGCACTCCTCAGATGAGACACAGACGTTGTGCAGACATTTGAAAATGGCTTCACAAAACAGTGAGCTAGAGCTCCTCATGTGTGGCCCCAGTGATTGATTCACACCCTCCTCCCCCAGGAAAATGTCCAGAAGGCAATGACGTTAGCGACAAGGAGAGAAGGACAAGGGAATCGCCGAGCCCTCTGAAGACATGGCCGCCGGGGGCAGAACCGGCCGAGCCCTCTGCCGTGAGGGAGGCGGCACTAGCAGAGGTCTACCAGTGTCACCTCCCTCGCCCTCAACGGGCAGACAAGGACCTTGGGGCGCTCTCATCCATCGCTACCTCCCATTGCTGGCACGCTGGTGCTGCTCTCTCCCTTTCCTTGGCTTCAATGGCTTCTCTTAGCACCCGTTCTTTGACTGATGACGAGGCGCACCTCGAGGACTCCACGGGGATAAGCTTACAGGTGAGCAGCACTACTTCTCACCCAGGGTGTGGTGGGGAGAGGGGGCAATGGGGAGCTAACCATGAGCAGGAGAACAAATTGTTCTGAAAATGATTGTGGTGAGGATTGCACAAATCTTGTGAATATGACTGAACGATTAAATTGTATGATATGTAAAGTATATCCCAAGACATTTTTTAAAATTAAGTTCAAATTTAAAAAATAGAGTCAAAATAAAAAGTTACTTAAGAAAGGACAAAAGATCTCTGTGATTATCTCCTTCCGTTTTTCCACCTAATAAATACATTTCAACATCCTCCACCTCCTGTCTGTCAGCTTGTTATACTGTGGTGGTTGCGTATTGTTAGTACGTTAGAAGCTATGCCTCCTGTATCTACGATACCAACAGGGTCACTGAAATAGTTAAGGTTTATTGTTCCAACCTGTGGGATTAACTGAAGGGCGGAGAGATAAATGGCTCGGTGAGCCTCGCCTTTCTAGTTCTAGGGTGTCTTGCTTTCTGATGGTCAGACCAGGCTTCAGCTGCCTTAGCCAGTTCCCTGCTTCAGCTGGCAAGGCTCACTTCCTGCAAGTCATCCCTGAGGAGAAGCCACATGCACCTACCCTGCTGCAGCCCTGGAGCAGCCGTGTGGAGACCCCTGCTAGTTCTGAGATGCTTACACACTCACATTCACTGATTTGCTTTCCTCCTGCAGTTGGCGTCCTTGCGTGTGTCTTGTGAGATTGAGGAGGACTTTGTGGGTTGATGTCAGACATATGGGCTAATGTTGGACTTATGCACTTGGACAGCACTGTTTGGATGCTTTCTTAATGTACACTTACACTTTATATAAAACGCTCTCTAATACATATGAGTTTCTTTGGATTTGTTTCCCTGATGTACCCAGACTAACACAGTTACCCATGGTGGACAGATTTCATCAGAGCTTCTACACTAATCTAGACTGGGAAAAAAGGTCTACTGATCAACTTCTAAATACCAGCCAATCGGGAACTAGTGATAAGTGGATTGTAACAGAACACTGTGTGGCTTCCTTGCTCTGGAAACAACATTAGCTTCAGCAGAGCATCATGTCTGGTGAAGCTGTGGGTGGACTTGAGCATGAGCGCCTTAGTGGCCTAATTGCCTCAACAACAGACTCAAATATGCTGCCGATGGTAAGAGTGATGCAGGATCAGGCAACATTGCACACAAGGTCACAGTGAGCTGCCGTCCGTCCACTCGATGGTAGCTAACCATCTACCTCATAATGCTTAGGAAACAGGGGCCTACAAGTTAGATCCTGTGCTCAGGGCCTATCTCTGCCTGTGTTATCTGATTTATCCAATCAACAGATGAGTTTACAATCGCACCATCCACTAAAGCAGAACTCCACAAATGCAAAGTGGTTAAGCCTCCCTTCTTTCTTTTTGCTTCTCACAAGGAAAGAAAGGCAAGTGATTCCGTCCCCATTTGACAGACCAGGATCGGATTGTCTCCTCAGAATGCCCAGAGGGACTGGCCGTGAGGGGAGAGCAAGTGCGTTCCCAGAGGAAGTGGCTGAGAGAGCGGTGGCAGTGTGTTTCTGGAGACAGGACTGGGGCGAAGCGATTCAAGGTCGAATGGGGATGATGAAATTGTGGAAAAACAAGCTCCACTCATCACAACATTGTTGCATACAACTCTGGCTCTAGTCTTCTATTTTCTAAATCTTACTACTCTTCAGAGCCAGAAAGGCATCCTAGCTACCCAGCACAAAGAAACCATCCTGACAGCAGGACTAGCCCCAAGTCACAGGTTCAAATCCACCCATTGGTGCCCTGAAAGAGAGGCCAGCTGACCTTCTTCTGTAAAGACAACAGCCAAGAAAACCCTCTGGAGTAGCTCTACCTGCTGTCCCAGGGGCTGCTGGGAAAAGGAATAACTCAACGGCAACAGGGAGGTTCTCCCCAGCCTGCGCTCTTCCCAATAGCAGGACGTGTCTGTGAGGGGGAGGTGTCGTTGCCCGGAGACACGGAGAGTGAAGCACAGGGAGGCAAAATACAATGAACGGCCAAGTCCAGAGCTGGGTCCTAAGTTTCTTGAGGGTAGACAGCAAGTCTTTATTACACACACCCCCCTCCCCACTCTTGCCAGAGCATTGCATGCATAGTAGCTTCTCAATAAACAGCTTGTGTTCAATATCTGCTTGATGGCAACAGTGGTTGTTAAGAGGGCTTTCTTGTGCTCAGAATGTCAGACTCTCTGCTCTATATAATTAAAACAAGAATGAACACGAAATGTATAATTTCTCCCAGCTCTCGTTTAATCAGGCATTCATTACCATGTCTGATTCTGTGTTCTGTGAAAAGAAGAACCGCTTAGTCAGCGTTTCCTATTAGATGAGGATAAGCCAATGCATACATAGATCAGAGATTTAAAAGAGCCCAACTCAGACAAAATAAAACCATCAAACATAAGGGGGAACCATGACACAATATTCCATCTGAGGCTCAAGAATGCCCAAGGCAGAGTGGCACAGTGCTTGGCCCAACTTCGACCACTGGGTATTTGGGATGGTCAAGGAACACTAAGAGAAGGAGCCCGGTCCTCATTAGGGCCGTGAGCCGTGGCACCTGTGGGGAACCCTGCAGTGAGGGGTACAGTACTCGCCGCTGCGTGGGAGACTGGGCTGCTTTCCAGCAAACGCACTCCCCGTGCAGCCATCGCTCATCTGACAGGGAGCCTTCCTGTTGCTGTGACCTGAAGCAGGCTTCAGCGGAGTGGGCACACCAGATGGATGGAGGCAGTAAAGGCCTGGGGAAGGGCTTAGAAAGTCCTCTGGACCACACCATCCCGTCCACCTCTAATAATGGGCACGGCACAGGACTGGGCAGCCTTTCATTCCATCGGGTCACTGGGAGTTGGGAGCTGACTTGATAGCAGCTAACAATAACCAGTGTCTACAGACTGCAGGTCACATTGCACAGTAAAAACTGCAGAGGTGGGAACCTACGTAAGGCGGAACCTGTCAGAGACAGAAGAGTCCACTATTCCCTGTTGAATGAGCAGTGGAAGGCTGGCCTGTGTCAGAGGCAGACAACTTGTGACTCCCACAAAGACAAGTTCAAGTTCTCCCAGGTCTCCCTGTACGATCTTCCTCCATGCTTCCTTCCAGGACGTCACTCATGGCCAGCTTGGGAATAAACAAACTCGCTGGGATGAGAAGTCTGGATTCAGGGGTTGACTTGAGGGCTTTCTAATTGCTATTCGGTCACCGAAGCTACAGCAGTCTGTACCAATGAGTTGATTTCGACGCCCTGCCACCTCAGTGTGTCAGAGTGGAGCTGTGTGCCCTAGGATTTGCATGGCTCTAAGCAGATCACCAGTACTTTTTGCAAGAGCACTGTGAGGAGGATTCAAACCACCAACCTTTCAGTTAGAGGACAGACGCAAACCACCTATGCCAAGCTGTGACCTAAGCTAGTGGCAGCAGTGCTATGTGCCACGTTTTATTGCCAAACCTCACCCGGCGGCAGGCAGGGCCTCTGCTCGCCTTTAAGCGGCGAAGTGCCACATCTCACGGGCATCTGACCCTCACCCAATGAGAAAAGCCCACGCCAGGCTCGGGGACTTACGTCTGGGTCCTCGTGGCTGGGGCCGTTAGTCTCCACCAACTCCTTGGCACCTTTCAGCTGTGAAGTTGGAGAGAGGGGGGAGAACATGAATCAGCAGGCATATCTATTAAGTATACATCATCTTGTTAACTCTGATTTATTTGAGGTTGCAGTGTATAAAACTTCCTATGAGGAAAACCAGATGGAGCATATAATTCTAATGAGTCTTTTGGAGACCAGTTTGAGACCAATATTTTACGAAGCTTGATGGCTGGCAAAAATAGAAAATATATAAATAAATGGGTCCTGGTCATTATTTCTTAAATAATAAGATTAGAAAGCAGTTCCAAAGGCATAAAATGTATAAAATTGGGTTTTACGAATAATAAATGATTTCATTTTCTCGCCGTCTTGGTATTAATTTAAACGCTGCAACATTTGCAAGTCGCCAGCAGCTAAATGATGCTGTACTAACGATTATCTGCGCATCATCTACCCGTGGCTGTTTCATAGGCTGCAGGGCCACTCAACTCATCTTCCCGGAGAACACCTTTGGGGGGTGGCATTGTTTCTGGACGTCTTCAGGGAGAGAGGAGCCCTGGTTGGCGTAGTAATTACACATTGGGCTGCTAACCCAAGGCTCTGAGTTCAAAACCACCTGTCACAGGAGAAAGACGAGGCTTTCTACTCCTGTAAAGAGTTACAGACTCAGACACCCACAGGGCAGTCCGATCCTTCCCTGGAGGGTAGCCGTGAGACGACACTGACTCAATGGCAGTGAGTCTTTTCAGAGGGAGCAGGAAAAGCAGCTCCCGGCCCATGGAGTCATCAGCAGATAAGCCGTTCCCCCAGCGGGGTTTTGCGCGAGGAACACTTGGCACCACCCTCCTCTCTCAGAGGGCTTAGAAGGAAAGTTGTAGAAGATTCCAAACTGAAAACCAAATTCCTGCCATCGAGTTGATTCTGACAGTGACCCTGAGGATAGAGCAGATCTGCTTCCCCTTTGCCCCTTGAGGGTTTCTGACGGTAACGCTTTCTAGAAGCAGTAAGCCTCATCTGGTTCCCTCGGAGAGGCTGGTGGTTCCGCACTGCCGACCTCATTGACAGCAGACCAGTGCATAGCCCACTACCCCACCAGCGCTGCTTGTTCAGAAGGCTTCAGGAAACCATTCATGGGCATTGTATCCTAGGCTGGCCCAAAGCAGATGCCAGGAGGCAGAGAGTGGGGGAGGAAGGGAGCGGCCCTTCCAGCTGTCACAGGTGTTTCTCCCTGGCTTAGGATGCTTGGGAAGCAGCATCTCCTCCATCATCATTTTTACGCTGAATATAAAGTATTCCTGGTAAGAAATAAATATTTAAATTTGGAAAAATATTAAGTGCACACATGCCACCAGTATGCTTGATTTAGAACATCGTCTCTTTCTGGCTACTTGTGCATATTAAAATCAAAGTTTCTTGAGAGCTTTTGTAAGGTGATCTCAAACTTTCAGCAAGAAGGGCTCTTCTCCTCATGCCAGGAGAGGGACTCTGCCGGGCAACGGTGCCAGGAGGACGTGGCGCAGGGACAGCTGTTTGTGGACCAGCCACACGGCAGCTCGTTTTGGCGTCACTCCCAAGCCCAAAGCCCACTGTCCTCAAGTCTTCTCCAGCTCACAGGGACCCCCGACGGCAGAGCAGACCTGCTCCTGGGTTGCTTTAAGGCGTCAGACTGCTGCATCTTTGCCTTGCAAGACAGTTGGCCAGTTCCACCTACTGACCTTTTCGCTAGCAGCCCATTGCCCAGGCCTCCGGGCCACCAGGCGCCTTTTAGTGCTCCCCCTTTAAGCAGAATGCCTCCTTCCCCAATGTTCTCCTGGGCTGCACAGGCCACTCCTGCCTGCGCACACACGCCGTGTGCAAGGGCTAGTGGGCAACGTGTGGAATGGATAAAATACCAGACCACAGCAGAGTGCCCTATCTCATCACAAGGCACAAAAGGGCCTTTTAAACACAACCTGCTGACTTCTTGTCTAACATCGCCGGTGCTCCCCAACATCCCCCTCCTCATCGGCATCTCTGCTCATCTTGCTTGCATTCCAATGAGTGACAGAGGGGTGCCTCCAAAGGTGTGGTTCCTTTTCAGGCAAAATAAAGGGCTTTTAGTAAGGGCCTGCTCCACCTCACCTGCTCACTAGCATCGATATGCTAGGTGCTTTCCCTCTGCCTGTTACATGAACTCCAGGCCGCCAGCTCCATGTCCCCCTCTGCCCTGTCTCCTATGGCACGCTTGCTCTCATGTACGTGTACACACACACACACACATACACATACACACACACACCACCTGTCTACTCAAACAGTTTGCCTCTTCCCCAGAACCTCCCGAATAAACCTGCCCGCCTCCTGACAGGGTAAGTTCCAGGCCAGCCATGGCTTGGCCCCTAGCCAGCTGGCCCCAGCCCCCAGCTGCCCTGGGAACCCTGCGAGCTGCTCTGCTCCCACTGGGTGTTGTTAAGGTGGCTGTCTCTGACACGTGGTGACCCTAGCATACCATGGCCGCACTCTTGGGGCTCACTGGGTGTTCCCTTGGGGGCCGGCTTCCCCAGTCTGTGTGAGTCTGAAAGCTCTGCTGAAACCTGCTCAGGATCAAAGCAAGAAGCCAGCCTCCCTTGGCAAGTTGGTGGCCTTGAGCTGCCATGTGCCAGAGTCAGACCTGGGTTCCCTGCATGGAAGGTGAGAATTCTACCATGGACCCACCACTGGCCCCCTCTGTCCAACAGAGGGGTGGTGCAGCTTGTCTTGTGACACCTGATTTACTGCATCAGCCCCGGACATTGGAAACTACTACTACGTAAAGGAAATGTAGGGCAGCGGTTGGTGGGGCCCAGGAGGCCCTGGAGATGCTGTATGTTGGCACAGGGGGAGGGAGGAGGACTTCCTGGAAAGTTTGAGGGATGGGCCAACCATGCCAAGCTCATTGCCACTGAATCAATGCTGACTCACAGCAACCCTATAGAGCAGGGTGGAACTGCCCCTATGGGTTTCTGAGACTGTAACTCTTTAAGGGAATAAAGCAATCCTCCCTGGATAAGGTGGAGCGAAACGATTGTTTCTTAAAGGCAGGCTTCTCCTCAAGTGAGTCATATTCTTAAGGAGGAGGGTACAGTCTGTCTTCGTCTGGAAGCTCTGAGGAAACCTGTAGGTGGGAATGGGGGTAACACCTTAACTCTGCCGAGAGAGTGCTGGCAGCCAGCAGACCCTTGACTGGACAACTTGGGGTTTCCAGGGGCGAGGCCATTCGTTTAGGCCACCTCTGTATAACACAGAGGAGCGCTCCCACAACAAGGGTTCCAGTTCCCATTGCCAGGGGGACAAGTCCCCCCCACAGCGACCTCATAGGCAGAGCTACCCTTTTTGGGGTTCTCAAGAGCTGATATTTTTAGAAGGTGCATCACTGGACCATGTTTCTAAAGCACTTCCTGGAAGACTCAAATCTCTGACCATTTGGTCGGCTATCAGGAACACTTAACTGTTTGCACCACTCAGGGGTTCCACACAGGTTGCTAGTCTACACATCCAAAGACAGGCCATGTTCATGGGGTGAAGAAGTATGTTGTTCAATATGTGTGTGTGTGTGTGTGTGTGTGTCTGACAGTGGGGGGGAGGGGGGAGGGAAAGAACATGCACATGATACAGTCCTAGCTGTAAAGACCACCAGGTAAGCAGGCAATCGAGTCTGCTGACGGCTTAGAACAAAGGAACTTGGCTGCTGCACACGCCACTGCCTGCAAAGAATCACTGCCCATTTACACGAGCACTTCAGTTTTAATACTGCTTCCTTCTCAGGTGTGTTTCCCAGGCCTTCAATGATTTCACCTCTGAATCCTCTTCCCATTCTCCTATCTTAACTTCTTTAAAGTCATGCCAAGTGGAGGGATATTTCACCAACGACCATAGGTGGGCTTTGCGTTAATAATAATTTATAAATGATCAAGGGTTCATGAGGGAGGGAGGATGGGGAGGGGGGGAAAAGAGAAGCTGAAAACAAGGGCTCAAGTAGAAAGAAAATATTTGGGAAGGGATGATGGCAACCTATGTACAACTGTGCTTGACATAATGGATGTGTGGATTGTTATTAGAGCCCCGAATAAATTGATTAAAAAATAATAATAATAAATAAAATAAAAATGCATGGCACAAGAAGAAATTGACCCCGAATTTCTGCAGAGCTCACCATCCACTGTTAGTCTGGGACTTGGATTTCTAATCAGATGAAAGGAATCGGGTCATTTAGAGAAAAGAGAGATTGCCCTCCTTCACAGCCCTAGTTAAAGTTACCTTCCAGGGACGAATCAAGGAGAGAGGGGACATGATACCAAGACATCTGACATGGCTGTGTCTGTCTGTGGGCATATTTAGATCCACTCAAAGTCCACCCTGCTGGGGGCCTTTCTGTATGGTGGAAAGGGGAGAAACAGGATCTCAGATCTATGAGGTGGTTGGAAAAGGTGCCCTGGAGGCGTAATGGGTTACAAGTTGGGCTGCTAACCTCAAAGTCAGCAGTTCAAAAGCACCAACTACTCCCTGGAGAAAGCTGAGGGCTCTGCTCCCATCCAGAGGGACAGTCTCAGAGAGTCACTGGAGCAGGGGCTCTGTCTCATAGGGTTGCTATAAGGCAGCATCAACTTCATGGCAGCGAGCTGTTGTTTGGACGTGGTAAGTCAAGGAGCCCTGAAGGTGCACAGTTAAAAGCTTAGCTGTTACTGAAAGATTGGTGCTTCCAACCCACGGGAGCTCCACAAAAGAGGGGGCTGGTAATTTATTTTCCTAAAGATTACAGATGACAAAACCCTATGGGGCAGATCTATTCTGTCAAATGGGTCAGTAAGGGTCAAAATCAACTCCCTGGTACCCACCAAGATGCTAGGTCATTGTGAATTTGAGTCCACTTGCCTATCACTTAAAAGCCCTTGTGGTGTAGTGGTTCTCATTGGGCTGGGAACCTCAACATCATCAGTTCAAAGGCACCAGCTGCTCCAAGGGGAATAGACAAGGCTTTCTACTCCCATAAAGAGTTACAGTCTCAGAAACCCACAAGGGGCGGTTCTACCCTGTCCTACAGAACCGCGGTGAGTGGGGACTGACTGGATGGCAGTGACTTAGGTTTTGCCTGTCACTTTGTATATGGTGGAGGAATGCATGCTGCTGTGAGACTGGAAGCTACGCCACCATTATTTAAAATACCAGCAGGGCCACCCACAGGGCATAGCTGTTTCAATGCTCTAGACTAGGCAGACTAAGAACAAGTGCCTGATAATCTACTTCTGAAAACTGGCCAGTGAAAATTGAGATCTAGTTCATTAGTATGGCCCTGTTGGCCGTAGCAACCCTAAATGAGATAGACTGACACAGTGACAACCATGGGCTGAAACAAAACAACTATGAGCATGTGCGGGGCTTGGCAGCGCTTGTTCTGTTGTGCATACAGGAGATGCGAGTCACAACCAACTTGATGGCACCTAACAATGACAGTGTATTTTCAGCTCAATCCACTTTATTCAGAATCAGATGGCTTTGGTGTAAGTTAATGAATTCGTATCATTCATATAAAGCCAATGACTAATTTTGTAAAGTTTTTTCCTTCAAAGCCTCTATCTAACTAGCTTAGAGACTCTCCATAGTCTCCATATCCCCTACAGATCATAAGCACTTAGCACTTTCCGGCCCAGTAAGTAAACCAACGTTTTCTTGATATCGAAGCTTTCGAAAATGGAAACCACTAGGTAAAACGATTCACTGTGGGCTTGGGCTCCCTCTCTACTCCATGATTCGTTAAAATCACTTTTGAAGGTAGGTGTGCATTTGGATAAATGATGTTTATGCAAGCTATTGCATATGAATGAAGACACTTAAAGTCACCAATGTGGGATGACCTCACAGGGCTCTGCCGGGCTCCTATTTGTGACTCCCCTCTCAATTACCACAGGTTGCATTACTGGGGACCAGGGGAGGCCTGATTTCACTCTGCTGCCAAGCGATCCATCTTACCTTGCCGAAAGACAATGCTTTCCGACCCACTTATCAACGTCAGGCTTCAGTGTAGTATCAAAGAAAGCCGGAATAAAACGATCAGATTTACACATGTCACATAAAAGAGTTGCCGCTCACCACGGTTAGATAAGTGGCCTGATGCACGGGAAAGATATGTTTTTTAACGTCACCATGAATCAGGTCTTCTTATTCAGGTCTGCAGGAGCGGCGTGGGCTCTGCGGAATTCATTTTCCCCGCTATTAGGCTTTAACGGGAGGCAAGCTGCTACTTTGAAAGATATCTCCATTGCCAACATTAAAAAAAGAAAACCTTTAACAAAATTCATCTGTCTTCTGGAAGGGATGCTTGCCTGAGGCTGGCAGGCTGGGATGGTCCACAGGGCCACAGGAGTGAGCATGGAGAGAGACCAGGAATGAGACTCTATTTCTACACACTGGCCCTGCTCGGACCTGTGACAGGGCACAGCTTCATTCAGGTCTGTAGGTCTGATACTCAGGGGAGGGCCCCCCTTCATCTAGCCCCCCTCCAAAAAAAAAGTCCCAAACAGACAAACACAAAACTGAGTCTCTGCTACTTACTTGTTCCTGGAGAACTTTGAGTAATGCCTGTGTGTGGGACTGCTCTTCCTTGGCTTGTTCCAGTTCGGATTTTTTGTTGTTTAGCTCCTCCTGGATGGTCAGCAATTGCTATGGAAACCAAAGGCAATTGAGGATCAGTAGGAGCAGCAGGAAGCTGGGTAATTGGGAATGTTCAGAAAGGCCAGCCAAAATGAAGAGCAGGGGTTGCCATGTCTCAGAGTTCAGTCCGGAACTTCAGTTGAACAAGTTTTGAAAAACAAACAAACTTTGTAATGGTGAATTGTGAAGGTTCACAGAGCCAATCGTTGGCCAATCAACAAGTCATGCACAGTTTGCTGACTCTCATTGTTGGCACCCCCTCCTGCCTTGACCCTGGCTCAACCATGTCCTCGGTCAGGGCTGCCTTTGGTTTCGGAGGATTAATGATGCTACGGTGGGGGAACCTCACTAATGCTACAGACCCCCTTCGACTGTTGGGCTGACACCCAGTCCCTGGGAAGCAGGGGTGAGTTCAATTCCAGACCTGAAAGGGGACTGCAGGCCACAGTCTTGGGGGTTCCACCAGTCTCTATGTCTGGTCTTTTTTAATGATTTGGAGTTTTGCTCCACCTTTGAAACAAAACAAAACATTTGCTTGTGTGTGTGTGTGTCTCCCCTCCCCCTCCCTTAGCAGTGTTACAAGGTCTCTGAGTGGTGAAAGCAGTCTGTATTTTGACTAGAATCTGAGAACCCACCCAGCAGCACCACAGAAGAAAGGCCTGGTGATCCACAAGCAACAAGTGTACAACTTGTTGATCTGCTAACAATCGGCTCTCTGAACCTTCACAATTCACCATTAAAAAGTTTTGTTTGTTTTTCTAAACATTTTCAACTGATCCACATCTGTCTGAGCAACACAGGGGTCTGTATGGGTGGGGATCAGCTCGATGGTAGTGGGAAAGATTGTCATGTGGTGTTTGGTTCACTGCAATGACAAGAAGTTGGGAGATGGCCTTTGCTGGTCCAGTTACAAAGGAGGAGAGCAAAGCTCAGGAAGGTCACACGCTGCCATGCTGGCCCAGCAAAGACGCTGCCAAGCCTGGAACGCCAACCAACTACATCACGTCACAGCTCCCTCCTCTTAGGATGTGACTCAGTGGCAATGGATTTGATTTAGCAGTTGGGTCTGTCTAGTAGCCAGATGAGTAAGTGCTGCAGCTTTGAGCACAGTATAAGGCTGTTTGGGACACAATGTAAGCAGTGTGCTGTGGCATCTCAAAAGATACCAGTACCGGCCCCTGAACTGGTGTCAGTCTGTAAAAATAGCCAGGCAGTGTTGATAAACAACAGGGTGTTGGGTGGAAGAATTAAGTCATTATTTTTTAACACCCTTAACATAACGACCTTCGTCATTGCCCACAGGAGTGAAGGGCTTTGTGGTAGCTCCGTGGCACTCCGTCCCCAAGGATGCCCTCTTCGGTTCCTCTGTTATGACGCGGGCGTTTTATTAGATCAGCAGGACTGAAGTCCAAACTGTAATCAATATATCATCCCAGAAAACTGCTGATATAAGCTGTCAAAACCCTAAGCTATGGCCGACACTGCTATTTTAAGTCGGGCCACTGAAGGGATTTTTGTAAGCCTTGAGCTTCCCCGGCCCTACCAACTATAACTCATGTGGAAGCGTACCTTGTCTGCCAAAAGCCTGGCACTAATTCATTGGGAGCATGGTTAGATGCTAATATATACACATGGTAGAGAATAACATGCAAGTGACTCTAAACAGGCGCTGGGAAGAGTGATGTTTACTCAAATCTTGACAACAAAGGACACATTTGGAGACACAGAAGGGTCCTGCTCTGGCTACTCTACATAAACCCAGCTGTGCTCATGACTTGAAAAGGAGACCTAGTGACCCAGTGGGTCACATCCTGGGTTGCTAACTGCAAGGTCAGCAGTTTGAACCCACCAGCTCCTCCTCAGGAGGCAGAGGAGGTTATTTCTTCCTGTAAAGATGTCTAATCTGGGATACTCTAGGGAACACTGCTCCCCTGCCCTGTAAGGCTACTGGGAGTCAAGGGGGCAGTGGGCCTCTTGGGTCACTGTGAGTCAGGGGCAACTCGAAGACAGTGGGTTTTGTTTTGCTAGTGAGATGAAAATACATGTGCAATCCTGCCGTACAGGTAGCTGCAGTTTCCATCATCGAAGCTGCTCTGCAGAGCTGCCTGGCCAGTTCTTAACCACCAGGCTCTGAGGGTTAAGCACCCTGCTGCTAACCGGAAGTCAGCAGTTTGATCCCGCCAGCACCCAGAGATCTGTGTCTGAAAGAGGGCAGCCTTGGAAACCCTCAGAGGCAGATCTGCTCTGTCCTATAGGGTCTCTGAGCGAGACCAGAAGACTGCAAGGCTCACCTCCACTGGAAGGGTTAAGGGAAATATTCCAAATGTCTGCTTTCAGGGCACAAATGCGTGAGTGCGTTGGTGGTTCTGCCCTAGCTTGGCCGCTGCGATTCCTGGTTGCCGTGGAGTTCGCCTGCCTCACAGAGACGCCATGCACAATGGGATCAGATCTGTGTCATCTATTGATTGGGTTTGCAAGAGTTGTCTTTCCTGTAGTAGCCTGCCAAATTTTTCTTCCTTGTATTCCTCGGACAGCTGGTTTCGAACTGGGACCATGAAGTTATCAGTCCAACACATAACCACTATACCACCAGGTCAGGATAAAGTATAAGTATTTGCTTTGGAAGCACCCCGGGACTATTCTAGCAACTTCCCTGCCCAGGGGGTGATATCACCCACTTCAAGAAACACTGGCTTATGGGATAAGCTCACTCGCCAAGTAAAAGCCACTCGATTATCTCCAATTCTCTCTGCCCTGCCATGGACCATGGGAGCACATGTTCCCTGTGGGCATGTCAGAGAGGTTCTCGGGGCTGCATATCCAGTGTTGGGCTGGTGAGCCAGTTCCCAAGAAGTTAACATGCCAATTGCCCCTGAAGGATGACTGAGCTGGCTACCAGGTTACCACCACCACACCAGATTGTTGTGCCCACAGCCACTCAACTTTCACCAGTCTGCACTTCCCTGAGTTTAAACCACCTACCTCCTCATCCCAGCTCCGAGAGTTTATTCCCGCCTCTTGAAAGAACAGTTAAAAGCAGTAGTTCTTCATTCTGGCTGCCCACTAGTGCTATTTGGGGATCTTTACAAAGATACTGAGATCTGGGCCCGACAGAGGACTAATTAACTTGGAATCTCTTGGGACGGGACCCAGACACCACCATATATATTTAAAACCTCTGATGTGTCTAATGCGTCGTTGGGGACAAAAACTCCTGTCTCCTTTGGAGCTTAATTAATCCTCAGTCTCCTGCAACGTGACTTCCACTCCCAGAGCTGCACTCAGTCTGTTGTCCTAGGGTCTCCTGGGCTTTCCTATTGTCAGCTGCTGCGCCAGCCTGGTTCGGCTCTCCTCCCCACGTGCTCTCTGGAGTGGTCCCCCGTCAGACCTGCGCCATCGTAACCACGCACCCCGTGTGCGCGTGCTCTGGCTTCATGTCCTGACCTCAGAGCTTCACCCAGCTCCTCCTACTCATGACACCCTGGCCTGCTGTTATCAAACTGGGCTCCCCCTTCCCTCCTGGTGCACACCTTAGTCACCTGACAGCTGGAGTTGAATCCCTGAGGTCAGCTCTTGCGCGCTCACTCCCCTCACAGGCTCTCTGCCCACGTCTCCATCCACTGTCGCTGTCACAGCCGAGGCCCCACGCTTTCCTCTGCTGGCTACTGCGGGTGCCCGCCCCATTCACTGTCCCGCTCTCCTGACGAGTTGGCCGCTTATGTATTTAACATTGCCCCCCTGGAAGCATTCTATTAGTCTCCCAGTCTTGTGTCTAAAAGCCAACACAAGCTCCTCATCTTTACGCAGACGTGTTACATTCCTTCGTGACCGATGCCAAGGCCTTCTCCTAGAGTTCTCCCTGGAAGATGGCTCCTCATTCCGTAAGCCCCAACTCAAATTTGGTTTGGGGGCCAACCCCAGGCTGGATGATGTCTCTGTGCAGATGGGAAAGAGCCTCCTCCTCCGGTCAGGCATCGTGCTGCCCTGAGGCCTGTGGTTAGGCAGTAGAGTCACTACCCTGGCCTGGCGCTCTTCTCTACGGAGGAGCCCTCACAGCTCTACATAGGTGGCCACTTCTGCAAGAAGATGTCTCCTTCTATGTCCCCAAAGCACTTGATATAGTACTTGCATTTCACATGTATCTGCTCAACAGATTATATCAAACAATGGTAGAACCAACAATGAGGTGCTCTAACTCACAGCAGGTGTAGCATGAATGAACGTACAGACGCATGGATGACTAGCTGCTGGTCCTCCACTTCTATGGGAGTCAAAGGATCTAGACAAGGTCAGACCTGAAACTCTATCACCAGGCAAGTTATTGTTCTAGGGGTATGCACATATACAATTTTCAAGGGAAAAGAACAGGACCCTCGAAGCCATCTTGCCTCATCACATTGGCCATTCCAGATATACTCCTCAATTCACAGGGGAAACATCTCTTAAAAGGCGGAAGCAAGGCAAGCAATGAATTTGTAATTGTGTGGTCTCTTTCCCACGTCCTATGCAAACCAAAGCAAACCACAAAGTCACCACTAGGGAGAAATAAAATCAAGACCATCTGCCCGCCCCCTTCCCCCAACCATTTTTGACATTCTATAAAAGTAATTATTTTTGTTCATAAAATATATGTAAATGAATCTAATACTTATAGATGCAACACAGTTCTACGTTCGATTAGATGCCCTGGGAAAACAATAAGCCTTTCTAGTCCCCTTTCCCATGAAATTTATGAGACCATCCACTGTTCTTTCTAGTTGGATTTTTAAGCACCCGAGCGCTTCAATTACACAAGTTCACAGGCAGCTGAGACTTAATCAGAAGAGTCTCTTGGTTGGACTGGCTGACTACAGCATAAATTTAATTCAGCTCTGGAGAGCATGGCATTAAACAGATGCACTATTACATTTTTGGGGGGTTACAATTGAGTGTGTTCCAATTAGACAATTATCCATATGCCAATCAAGCAGAAATACTCTGGCGGACAGCAGGCAGGTAAATAAATGCTG